TGCACAACGCGCGACGACGCGGCTAACTACGATCGTCTTCTCCGTCTCTGTACCCCAACCCTCGGCGTCCCCCGCCCCGAAAAAGGTGGCCCAGAAGTTAATCCACCGGTGGCTCATATACATGTCAAGGTGTTAAGTATCAAAAAGTTATTTATTGAATCATACCCGAAGTTTTTGTTGCGTGCGGACGGCCGTATGACGAGGTTCGATCGAGCCCATGCGAGCAATGACGGTTGGGCTCCATGAAGGATACCTGCAAGGAAAAAGATCTGAGCAAATAATAGCATAGCAAATGATAGCGTGATAGTCACGAAGTAGTACATTTTACCATACACGATTCGAAAGAATCAAACGGAGGGGGTCCAGTTGCATGGGCTCTTTTGATGTGGGTTCTTCATAAGGAGTACACAGTTACATACTAGCGAGTGAAAGGGATCATTCTAAGGAGACATATTTCAAAAAATCCCAGTATTCTGGAATTACAGACCGTTTGCCTAGCAAAGTTGCCAAATACTACCTCCTTCCGTCGAAGATCCCTTGACGTATGGGTCATGATGGGCAACTGTACTCCATGGAGGATCAATAGGTACAGAGACAAAAAATAAAATAATAAAAGAGTGATAACGAAAAAGCAGTTCAACGGCGATAGGTGACGACTAATCCATCGATATGCCACCTATCATCGCCTACCCACCCGCCTCAGTCTACTTTGTTCCCCGTGATCGACCCCTCGCCGTGACACCCTCTTATCCTGACTTGATGGTCCTCTAAAAGTGGGTTGGTAATAATCAGCAGCTCCGGTTCGGCACCTGGAATTGCACGAATTCGATGTCTAACTGTGTATTAATGTTATATTTCTATAGGCTCCAATCTGAAGGAGACCTCTGGTGGGATGATCAACCCGATCGCTACTGTAACAGGTCGATGGAGAGACGGCTTCAGCATAGCCTCTAACCCAACACTGATTGATGGGATTTGAATCGAACTTTTGGCATATTCAACTATTACTACCCCAGGGAGTTAGAAAATTTTTTTGCTGATAACTTTGCCCACAAAAGTAATTCAGTGTCCTGATCACGAATATAGCACTCGTTTAGGCGCTGGCGCCAAATTGGCGCCAGTTTGGCGCCGCCATGTTTCGCACCAAATTCGGTGTAAATTTGGATAGTAAGGTGACGTCCTGATCACTAAAACCGGATGATACCGCCCTGATGCCATTTGGCGCCACACCGTTTTTATCAAAATCGATAAAAACCTGCATAATGGGGTTGTTTGATGCCCTGATCACGAATATGACATTTATTTTTCGACGCCAGCGCCATTTAGCGCTTTTCTAAGGCTGAGCCTGGGAGAAAGAGTGATTTCCTTCAGGTCAGGCTCAGCCTTAGCAGAGCGATGATCACAGCGTCTTCCATCAGCGCCAGCGCCAAAAATGAATGTGATATTTGTAATCAAGATGTCAAATAACCTCCGTATACAAGTTTTCAGCGGATTTGAAGACCTAGGATATTTTGACGTCGGCACCTGTGGCGCGGGCTCCAGGCGTTTCCGGGAGGATTGGATGCGATATTAGTGTTCAGCAGGTCAAACTACCTCTGGGGACAATTTTTCGGCGAATTCGGGGCGCCAGGCATTTTCAAGCCAAGTGGATGGAGTATTCGTGTTCAGGAGGTCGAATTACCCCTAGAACCCAACTTTCAGCCAAATCTGCCCCCGTAGAAAAAAGTCGATCAAGATCCGGCCTGTTTTCGGAAAACTGGGGTAGTAATAGTTGAATAGTGCCAGCGGCGCATAGATATGTACTGAATTGCCTTTGCGTTCAACGGGTGCAAGAATCGCAAGGTCAGAGGGTAAGTGCAGATGATATCGTAGCAACCAGTCGGGGAGCTTCTAGGAGGGGCGAAATGCACCACTAGCAGCTATGCCCTAATAGACCTCGTTCTGATAGGTCACCTTGAGTGGTCTCGTTCAGGTGCTCGTGAGCCCTTGGGCCGTTGATTCCACTACCATGCGCTAAGAGTGCACAATTCAGAATCTTGATAATGACAATTAGATAAACCAGTGAACTACTAGCAAATCCATCCTTGAACAGGATCACGTTTTGGGAAGGACGTAAACCTGTGCATGGGCAAGGAAGTAAACTGGGTGTCATTCAGGAAAGCGAATACCATTTTAAGCCCCATTCTTCGATATTGAACCCCATTCTTTTATGATGCTCTTCTCTCTACTGATTCTTTGTTGCAGAATCCCAAATCGAAAACTTCCATGCAATGGCGAAAAGTAAAATACTTTTCCAACAGACGGAACTCAGGGATAAGGAGCTGGATAGCATGAAAAGTCGACTAGATATGGCACGGCGGCAGTGAGTTTACAGCACTTATGACGAGTGACTTGTGACGAAGGTGTGGCCATAACTCTTCACGGCCCCGCGGCCGTTTGCTTGAGGGCGGTTCATCTTTGAGCGATTTCCGCAACGTTCGGAACTTAGGCCGACAACGGCTATGACGCGCTCATTAGTGATCACAGACGTCTCTGAATGCTTAACCGCAACCTAGCGGGTATCATCGGCTCAGACTGCCCTGCCTTTGAGAGATGTATGGAGAGTAGGGCGGGTGTGTGTGCGTCGCCAATCACACAGGCGGTACCCTCCTGATTCATCCTTTACTCTACCAAAGAACTTTAAGCTGCACGGCAGTCATCGATACACTTCTAATGCTGCGTTTCAAGGAAGAACTTAAATGGGCCAACGAACATTATGCGGACAGCAGTGCGAGCGTCGCGTTTCCGCGGTCATTGCATTTGATCGCGATGTGAATATTCGCGAGGAGGGTTTCACAGGTGAAAATTGGAAGTTCAAACATGCTGTGTTTGTTTATTGGAAGGTGAATGAGTAGTTCCACATATGTTCCTTTCTCCGTTTGCAGACCGTTCATGGAGTCACTTAGACATGAGCTACAGTCATAGACACAATCACGTAGCTATTCAACAAGAAGCTTACACGGATTCTAAAGCCGCTTTCGTACGGAACCTTATGTCGGGGTTTTTCTCCCGCGTTTTTAAAATCCTTTATGAGCAAAGATAGAAATTTCGAAGACATAAATCTAGTGCGACAGGGTAGTTAATGAGCTCAAGGTGAGTATTAAACATAATAGGAAGGCCGTGCGCGTAGTACTTTAGGACTCGAAGGCAGGAGATTGACGACGAAAACTATCTCTTCTCCATGTGTAACAGATCAAGAAACACAATGACTTAGCAGCAACTGGGGGGTTGCAATAGGATAAGTGTTCCATCAGGAAATGCATTTTGAAGTATTGTACAAAGTTTACAGGAAATATGTTTTGTGTTGTAGCACAGCATTCGTGATGCTGGCGCCCTAAACAAGTTGGGTGTGATCAGCGATTTTGTCTTTTTAATTATTCGAGGATAAACTGACGTTACTCGGTTAACAGAGTGGATAGAGAGTGTCTGTGCGTAGGAACATCTGAGATTCCAGAAAAACCTCGGAGGTCCTATAAAATCCTCAATTTGGAGTATGTTCCAGGGTTTTATAGCTCTTGATTGTAGACACAGGGGGGCCAAAAAAAAGTCACTTTCCTTCATTGACTTTCGAGGCGCTATAAGTTACACTATCAAGTTCTGATCGGACATTTTTACCACCATATTGAAGAGCATATTAAATACTATCGCGATGTGGTGCCTGAGATCAGCGAAGGATAAGTCGATTTCTTCGCCGTTAGTCCACCGTTTGAACTCCGCGCCGAACCGGGTATACTTGGATATTCCACCTTCTTTAGGTATTCAGCCCCCTTCCATTCCAAGTAGGCGAGAGTTTCTCCAATGCCCTTCGATTCCATGTGGTGGCACCCAATGCTGTAGCAGTACAAAGTTTCCAAGAAGGTACGGGCGACGACATGTGGGAGGATATTCTTCTCGAGTTGCTCGATGTAACCGCCAGCGCTCACCTTCAGTCCGGGTCCACGAAGAAAATATCGGTCTTCCCTTTCAGATACGTCTGGTCCCCACCATCAACTGACGCCTGGCAGACTGCCGGTGAAAAATGATGTCCTAGACCGTAGCGACGTTGTCGGAGCTGCTCGATGTTGGAGGTCATCCAGATCGAGAGTACTGGTCTCCAGGTAGCTATCCATGGGTGACTCCATACTAGAAGTTTCGCAGCTGTTTGGAGGTGACATGAATTCCAAAGGTCTTCTCCAGTCAGGCTGCGACTGGAGATGACTTCATATTTTGGTGTACATGAAGTGATGGGCAAGAGCCAGCTCCTGCTTATCGAGTAACAGTCTTGGGTATCTTCCGCCTGGTACTCGTATCCACGTCCTCTGTCTGGGCAGCGAAAACTTTGCTGATATGTGACTCGGTCGAAGTGACTTTTTTTGGCCCCCTATAGATCATTTCCTACAACAAATGACGTTCTCGCTCCCACGAATGTCTCGTAAATCGTGAACCCAATCGCGAGGATAACGCTTTCCAGTGCAATGACCGCGACACCACCGCTCACCCGCTGTCCGAAAATGTTCGTTTGGCATTTAAGTTCTTCTCTGCGTTTCCGTCCATAGCATTGGAGAATGGGTTGCAACAGTAGGTTGCAACAGCACGTGAGCGCGTGTTACATCATGTTAAAGGTCACTTTTTGCGAAAATACATCTTGCAAGATACATTCACACCTTGATTTTGTCGCAATCACATTTTTCCAATCTCCGAGTTTCCTCTCCTTTTATGATTCCCCCCTTCCCCAGTTTTTATCCTCCCTACCATTTCTCTAGATTTCCCCAGCTTCCTATCGCTTTCCAAGAGTTGCCCAGTTTTTCCGAAGGAGAGGAAAAGATGGGGGTATATAGCGCTCTCTTGAAACAGAAAAAAATTTGTAAAGAACTTTTATAACAAGAACATTTTTCCTGGTCAAATACGGTCCTCCTTCCTCCAACCACCGGATACGACCCTGTCTTCAGGGATCCTCAACGTACGACGTTGCTGCCTTTGTTTTGAATCAAAGTAGTTTCATAATTTTAGAGCGAAGAGAAGATCGTTTGGAGAGAATTCGTGATGGAGAAGAGAGTTCCGATGATGACTTGTTCGAGGAGGACATTGAGGTAAAAGATGAGGAGCGCTGGACTGTATACGAGCGGCAGCTGATTGAGCGCATGCGAAGGCTGCGTATCCAGATAGATCCTGAACGATGTGAGTTATCTTTTTTGATTTTTCTGAATCTCTCCGTATATGGATAGTAAGGGAGTCAGTCCTGGGCGGTGCTCGGCTCGAATATTTAGGACATTTCTATTCTCTCTTTGCAAAATCCTGTTAACTACATGTCATACCTTGGTGAGACTTGCAGACTTGGAAAATGTAAACGAAGCTGCCATTCTTTACTTTCACAGGACTTTACAGGTGTACACGAAAGACATCTTACCGTGAATCGCATGGGGACCAGGAAATGCCCCCACATAGCGGAACCGCGCCAGATCTTTGTTAGACTAACTTGGGTTTTGGAATGTTGAAACGAGGGCAGTCTTACTGTATGTCTAGGAAGTAATCGTAGAGTTTGGAGGGAAAGGCGCGAGGGTAGTCAGCCAAAATTTGCTCCGGTTCGACGCCAAAGTTGCACCCTGGCTAAGGGGTTCCGTTGCGCCCGGAAAACCTTCTCCGCTAGCGTCGGGTCTTTTTGTGCCCAGAAAATGTAAGTTTTATAAATAGGTTTCACTGCCCCTAGCGGCAGGCCTTCTGCGACTTTGGAGGTTTGAATTTGTCTCCGGGGGTCCTCTGGCGCAGGCACTAAGCCTTTTCACGTTGAACCGACAGGATATCCATGCTATAGAGGGGGGTCGAATCAGTGCCTTTAGGTAAACGTATTTAGAATCTGATCTTGTCCAAAGGGCAGGTTTTCATACAAAGTTCCGGCCAAACCTCGAAAGAAGGGGTAAAGGATGAAGAGTGCCCAAATTCCAAGTTGTCGGCCAATTCTGGATCAGTCAACCGAAATGAAAATGATAATACCGGTCAACTAACAGATCAATAATAGATTTGCATCGTTTCAAATTTTTTAATGTTTTTCAATTTTAAGTGGCTAATATGGTTAGCGAGATGATTGCGAGAATTCACATTCACACCACTCAATCAAGCCGCGAAAGAATGCCCAGCCCGCCTCGAAGTACAGCTGAGGAAACTGCAGGTAGCGATTTTTCGGGCACTGAAATAGTTTGGGGGTGGGGGGGGAGGGGAAGAACAAGACTAGGCTGCGCCCTCTAGTCGGCTGACGGTTTTCAAACAAGGCATACCATCACTTTGTGGGAGTTTTGTTGTGAACACGACCCCCCCCCCTTCTGATTTGCTCATTTTCGTGAGATCCAGCTCACCATACCAGTGAAATCTTCGCAGCATTTACCAAAATCTAGGCGAGAGTAGGGGCGGGGCAATGTAGACCTTTCCCCTATCAACAACAGAGGTGTGGGTGCAACAAATAGCTCACGAGGAACGGGGATAATCAAGAAGCAGAATTTTTTTCTCGCGACAAAGCCCGTCTCCTTTTCTCCAGTGGCCTGATACAACCCCCTCTTTTTAACACAGTGGATATTGAGCTCTGTGTCCAAGACTGTGAATAGGGCGAATATCAATATCTCGATGACAGCGGCGGTAGGCTGTGCAGCCTTCTTCTTCCCGCCTGCCCCCCCCCCCCCGGACTGCTGTCAAACTTTTGTGTCCAGCTTGAGTTTTCTAAGTTGATTTGAATCGTTTCGTGTGTGTACGGCCAACCAGAATTCGACTTTACCATGAAATATTTAGTGGTGATGTAGAAACCATCGATTTACCGTGGTGCACAGGTGATGAAGGAGGTGATGATGAAGTTCTCGAAGGTGTGTTGTTGTGTTTTGCAGCTAGTACAGTCTTACTACCGCTGCCGGAATGCTCAGGCGATATCTAGGGTGATTCGGGTTTGCGCAACGCAGATTTTCCCGTTCTCCACACAAAGTGTTCAATAAGCTGGCGAGCGGGCCACAAATGGGTTATTTTGAGAGGACGAGTTGGAACGCGTCCAACTACGGCCTTCCTCCCTCCACACCCCTGAAACACCCTAGCCTTCGTGCGGCGAACAAGACTGTAGCCACGCTGGAGTGGAGAGTCTGCTGGTTAGGTTATGTGCTCGGCAGCGGGTAGCCTTTTGTCGGTACTGGCAGAGACGTGGAAAATCTGTGCTTAACAAAACATGGAAAACACAAAGAATAAACCTTTTATCACTCTTTGCAAATGTCTTTCGCTGCCGCGCTCACAGCTGAGTGTGGACCCTCCTCACCCAATGCTGAGGTGGAAACTGTTAGCAATTTGTACCCGTAATTTTCAGAGATTGTGCCTGCAGATAACGAGAAACCTAAAATCCCCATTGGTCAAAATGTTTATGGTGGGTTTTTTCTGAGTTTTTTCCCCTTTATGCTACACTTTCCGTTGATTTCCATTCATATTCTTTGATATCTGTTTTTCAGTATACGACTGGTCCGAGACGCTGTTTCCAGGTGTGTTTCTTCACATAAAGACTTCTTAGTTTTACAGGCACACACAACACAAACACACATTTAGCGGATTCTGTATATAGTAGGACCCTTTCTGTGCTGGAACGATGTGTATGCGCGACATACTGAAATATATTTTTGAGGAATTTTTTTCAGATGAAGAAGCTGCGATCATTGGAGAGAAGCGCCCTTTGAATTTAGCTGAGGAGATTGGTAAGGTTTCGAACACTGTTTTATTCTGATCCACAGGAGTAGCTTTCTACGAAATAAGCATCATCAGTTATGTTAGTAGTGAAGGGTTATCTAACTTCTGAAGTCGGGACAGCAGGTTAGGGATAGAAGTCGGCTACACCTTTCGTAGGTAGTCCATCTGGGATTTGGGCCAAGACATCTGTTCAAAGGCACGGTCCGCGATCAGGTATCGAAGTTGAAAATATGGCGTCAGGAGGTTAGAATAGGTCCGCGACGAACAACCTTGTATCGGTTTCGCGGCAAAAATTCTATGGCGAAGAACGCTCGCGCCAAACCCCGTTTAGCGCAATATAGGTTCAGTGGCTCCTCCTTTTTTCCAGTGACTCCGCCTCCAGACTCCGCCCCTAATGACCGACTTCCAGTGGAAAATGAAATTGCAGGATGAAAAAGCATGATAATCGCCACTTGTACGATCGTAGAAATCTTATCGGTGAATCAGCCGTGCATATGAGGGCGTAGTTTTGGAGATAGAGTTGATTGGGCACGTACAAACTGGGATCGAAATGGGGTTCTATCTAGGGCAGGTGGCATGTTTTTTGTGCTTTTTTTTGTTCACAGTCGAGTT